ACACAGTGTGTTTGTTTCTCTATCGGATATTGAATCCTGGTCAAGGGCCTTATAACTGCAAAATGTTACCTTATTTTTGTCTAGCGTTTACTGAATCTACTTTAAAGAAACTTACTTTTTGAAAAAATGTTGTTTAAGAATTCTGATGATGTCATTAGGGTTATATCAGCTTGAGCTTACTAAAAATGAACTAAAAGCAAACAAACCAAAAAATCATGAAAGATGCTATCAAGTTGCATCATGGGAAATGTATTATCTTTGGCGCAAGACTTGAAAGTCAGTCTATCTTAGCCTTACACCTTCAAATTTAAACATTCTTGTAGTAATCTGTCTCTTGTGAGTCCCCCAACTTTATGAAAGTACACTGCTAAATTGCTGGAGAATCCCTTTAAAGGAAAATTCACCCCATTTTCATCCTGGTCCTTTTTAAAAAAGTTTAAGCCATTACGACAAATACAATTTTCATTGCTGTCTTCACTGTAGGACTTAAATTGTGTGAGAGAAATGCCCTCCAGCACACATACACAGGGACAGTTCCATGAAGATTTTTTTAAAGTTTCTAGTTTGAGGTGATGGAGATATTGACCCCGAAGCAAAATATCACCCAGGGCTTAAAAAGCCTAAAGCTGGCACTGCTCATAAAGCTTTTAACCAAATTCTTTCATTTCTTCTTTTTTCGGGGGAAAAGGGTTGTCAGGGACAATATTATGTGCGTAAGAGCAGACACTGACGCATGTTGCTGTCATATACTCTACTTCTGGGTAAATAACTAATTTTACTTAAAATCATGCACGCAACACACACACCCACACACAAGCTTTGGGTGTCCCACCACACCAGTCAGGGACCAAATGAGACAAGACCTATCATGTCTCCTCTCAGTGAGAGCAGACATTGTTGACTCACTGTAGTCTAGAGGCGCTTAGCCTGGGTCCCACCACAGCTATGCACTGTCTGACCAGAGCCTTGGAGCAAGGGTGTGCAGACTCACACACATCCATGGATGCATGCAAACATTACACAAACACTGTCAGACACACATACATACAGGTACATATATATACACCAGTCTCACTCTTTCTCCACCTCTGTGGTTTGCTCTTTAATACACTCATCAGTCACAACACACTCAAGAGCAAGAAGACAGCACTTTCTTTAGGTCTCTCCTTCCTTCACTTGCATACTTGGGATATGCACCTGTCTGACAGTTCTGCAAGGCCTTTCTGAAAACCGCTTGTGTTGAAAGGCTCAGTTTTCTCTCCACAAACCATGTGTCCTGAGTGTGCCAGAAACACTCCAGTCTGTCCACAGACATCAAGCCCCAGTCTCAAGCTCCACTTAAAGGCCCACTGAACCTGACATCATAGTGAATGGAGTGATGTTCATCCCCTGACTCCTCACAGTAAGTGTTGCACTTCAACAAATTTAGGAGGATTACAAGAGACACATTCAATAATGAACCTCATTTACAAACAGTGTGTATGCACAAATCTGTGCTTGAACTGTGGGTACGAACGTTTTACTCATAAATCTGGGTTTCATCAGTTTTTTCTTACCTGAATGTGTTCATACGTTCATACTCTGTGAACACATTTAGAACTGCCACAGACCTACAGATATATGATGATATGATATTTTTATTGCTATCTTCTGTTATCCTAACTACCCATCTTTTATTGTTTTGGCTTGATTTGTATGAAAGGTGCTATATTAGTATAGTTTGATGCTATATAAAGAGAGAAATGGGGGTGTAGGAGTATGGTAATTGCAAATATTGGGCATGCACTTGTCAATTTGGAATGATTCTGATTCACTAACATATGCACAGTGATAAGAATTTCATGAATTGGATGGTGATTTTGTTTTGTGTGCAAAGTAACAACATTTCTGAGCACTTATTAATGAGGCCTAATGTAACACTGTGAAAGTGATGAACCTACAGATCACCTGAATCTACAACTCCCTTCTTCCTAGTCAAAAGCAAATTTTGGATAACTTGGGATGTTTTTCTGAGGCAGTTAAAAAGGGAAATACAATGATAAAAATGGGACAATGTAAAAGTGTAAATTAACATTTCCATCTCTGATTAAGATACAATGGGCCTGAGCAATGTTTCTCAGTTGAAAAATAAAAAACTGGAACGAATGCTGGTCCACAGCCTAGTCCGTAGTGGCACCTGGATTTCTAATGGAGGATTTAACAGAAGAGAAGAGAAGAGCCACCCAACACCATTTATAATCTTAGGGATCAGGATCATGTTTCAGGAGTTGCAATTTGGCAGAAGTCAGACAAAAACTTGTCAAAGATGCTCATCTAATGCAGTTGTGAGTTGTTTAGCAACCACCTTTTCTAAGATTCTGGCTGTAAAAGGCAACTTGGAAATATGCATTTAATTTTGGGGTAAAGAAAGGTCCAGATGCAGGAGTAACAATATTACTAATAGTGTAAAATATAATTTTGGGATTGTGGTTGCTATTAGACACAAGATTAGATACGTTATAAGATATCTTGACTTTTAGTCCAAAAACGCTGGATCCTTCTGTTCCCATAATGCAGCTCTATAGCTCTACATGACACAATGAGGGTCATTCTTAGACTTTAGACAGCTCCCTCCAGGGCCACAGAAGACATCTGTTTTTAAACTCAGTAGTCTCCATGACAAGCACACTGAACTTAAGGTGTAAAATAGTGCCCCTTTAAAACTGGATTGTTTACAAGACTCAGTCACATGAATAGGTAATGATGCAGGACCCGCATTAGTCGATATGGTGCTTTAGTGGTGCAAATTCCCAAACAAATTAGCAATTAGTTAGATCACCTAAACCAAGCGACGCACGGTGAACCCGCAGCTTTTTAGGGCCTCTGGGAGTTTGGGTCCCAGATTAGTTCCCCCCCTTGCCCTGTCGTTAATCCAGACTCGCTCACACCTGTGACCTACAGTGCACACACACCGCACAGAGAGGACAAAGGCAAACCACACGTACCGATGTGCAGCCACACATGCATAGCCACCCACAGTCAGACAGACAGATAAGGAAACACATAACCGGTGTCTCGCCACAAACACACAAACACACACACAGAGAAAACCGACACACCCCGCCATTCACTGTCCTGGCCTTGTTTACTCATGACCATCACAGCTCTGCAGCAGTCAACCCCATCATTCCACAGATTCCTGCATCCCAGCACTATTTTATGTGCTTTGCAGAAACACTTGTGTTTTTTTCCCTCATCTTTAAAGACAGGAGTCATGCAGACATGACTAAATAATGCTGAGTAATGTAATAAAGGTGGAAAAGTGGAAAGTGGAAAGTGAAATTTATTATTATTTATATATGTTGGGATTTGGTTCTAAATGTTTTGCATGCTGTCTTGTTTGGAGGGCCAGAATGCAGTGACACATATATTTGACTGAAATTGAAATGATAGTGAAACTGGGTCTGATTGGAGTTTATGAGGTAAAACTCACTCAGAAGATCTTTATCTGTGCAATACTGACATCTGTAGACCATCAACAATGGCTTTGATTGCTCCACAGACTCCCTCATTTTCTTTCCTTAACTGCCTCATTGTCTTACATAACACATACACTCATGGTTTGTTTGACATAGAAATGCAGAAAGTGTCTGGCCAAAAGGTAATTTTCTGTATTTACTTTATTTTTTTAAATGCTTGGTTTCCTCCCACAGGCCAAAGATATGCAGACCAGGTGAACTACGTGAACTCTAAATTGCCTGTTACTGTGGATTTGTTTGTGTTGTGTTAAAGGCCTGTGACAGACTAGTGACCTGTCCAGGATGCTGACCTTGCACAGCAATAAGCAGCTACAGAGATTTATTTTGTTAAGCAATTTTACTTCACTTACAGACATTTTAAAATGTATCTTAGTTGTCGGTGTCTCAGTTCTCTTGAATAACAAATTTAAGCATGTTTCTTGCACCCACAAAGAACTGCATGGACCTTCATGCTGAATATTTCAGGCCTACTGATTGATTCAATGTTGACCTCTACATACAGATATTACACAGCTCAGCCTCTTGGTGGATTTCTTTATAATGAACATTAGAGAAACATAATGCCATCTAGTGGCAAACTCTGGAGCTGCACTGACAAAATGTAAAAAATGAATCATTAGCCACAGCACGACAACAGACATGGTGATTTCAGTACACCATGGGGACATTTAGTTTTTCACAGCTGTAAGCCATTCACATAGACACAATTGGATGTAACATATCATATAAAAAACTACTAAACTACCATTCACTTTTAAAAGAATTATGTCATAACGTTTTTTGTCAGTCTAATCATTATAATCACATAAATTAGTTTAGGTTTGACATTTCTTATAAGGTTGCCTTACTGAAGCACATATCTGTTGTGACTGTTTATAGACTGTAAAGACAGAAATCCCCATGTACAGTCAACAACAGTCAACAACAGTCAGTCAACAACAGTCAGTCAACAACCGTCAACAACAGTCAGTCAACAACAGTCAGTCAACAACAGTCAACAACAACAGTCAGTCAACAACAGTCAGTCAACAACAACAGTCAGTCAACAACAGTCAGTCAACAACAGTCAACAAGAGTCAACAACAGTCAACAACAACAGTCAGTCAACAAGAGTCAACAACAGTCAGTCAACAACAGTCAACAACAGTCAGTCAACAACAACAGTCAGTCAACAACAGTCAACAACAGTCAGTCAACAACAACAGTCAGTCAACAACAGTCAGTCAACAACAACAGTCAGTCAACAACAATCAACAACAGTCAACAACAACAGTCAGTCAACAACAGTCAAGCGCCAGTTGGTCGCAGTCAAAATGCATTCAAATATTTAAATTAATTTTGATTTCTAAGTGTTCTTTGATTAGGTAAAATAAAGGTCTCTGAGGTATGTTGATCTCCGTAGAGTATTTATCTTTGATAAACAATCAATACACTGTAACTGTCATAAGGGGGCGTGGCCAGTGTAGTAGTAACGCGGTTACGTCATACGTCTGCGCCACGTCCACCTTCTGACATTTTCAATGACAGCTTGCACACATTTCTGTAACGTTAGGTTTCTGTGATAACCACAAACTGTCTATGATGCAAAGAGCCGCACACACAGCTTTACATGAGTGGTCGAATATCGTCCGCCCAGCGATGGTCCGCCAGTGTTTACAGTGCAGAGGTAAGTTTACTTTAGCAGCGAGCTAAAGCGGCAGCGGAGCTACAAACACTGGTGGGAGTCATATGTAACGTTATCTAATGTAACGTTATCTAATGTTGTAACGTTATCTAATGTAACGTTATCTAATGTTGTAACGTTATCTAATGTTGTAACGTTATCTAATGTAACGTTATCTAATGTTGTAACGTTATCTAATGTAACGTTATCTAATGTTGTAACGTTATCTAATGTATGTTGAGTCACACAAGAACTTTACTGGACATCATGTTTCATAACAGACTTGTTATCTAACGTTAACTGAGTGTGTTTGTTGAATATTTCACTGTTATGTATCATTTTACAGGATTACATAAATCAGTATCGTTAGCTTCGTAGCTTCAGCACACTTCCAGCCCCAAGCTTTTTTCTAAATACTCAAGTTTAAACTATCTTAAACTAGTTCGTACAGGGTTGTCAGGGGCCACACATGTCTGTGCGGACGGACCTGAGGTCGTTTAAAAGAGCCGAATACTTCCTTTATAGCTCCGATGTCGCTCAGTGTTTGTTATTGTGTTGGTAAGCTAACTGTTGACTGTGTGCTAACCTGCTAACAGTGCCCGTGCTGCACCTGAGCTCACGCGCTTACAGTGTGGTCCCGCCCCCACGCGACAGTGAGGAGAAGGCGATGTTGGACCGGATGCTGCGCGTGGACCATGCGGGTGAATACGGGGCCAACCGCATCTATGCCGGCCAGATGGCAGTGTTGGGTCGATCTAGGACTGGACCTCTCATCCAGGTAGCGGCACAAGTCTGTCCACACTGATGGCTCCAAATGGCTGAGTCATTATTGTTCTACTGAAGGAAACCGTAATGGATGAGTCGCTGTTCAGTGGAAGAAATTGAATCTTAACCTTTCATTTGTCCCTTCTTGTTCACTGATAGATGTTTCTGGGTGACACTGAGTGAATCTGGACAGTTGGGTGTATTTTCCACTTAAAGATCTTGCTCAGTGTGACTTTAATGTCTCATCAAAATCCTTATTGGACATACTGTAAGTGCATACATCTTGATTCCCCATGTTTGTGTTTTTCTTTCTTTAGGAAATGTGGGATCAAGAAAAGAAACACCTTGAGAAATTCAATGAAATTCTGTCTGAGAACAGAGTTCGTCCCACCGCACTGTTACCCCTCTGGAACATTGCTGGGTTTGTATTAGGTTGGTGCAGCTCATACGAATACAGCAGTGTTGATAAAGTTATGAGACAACTTACTCTGAATAACTAAACAAATGCATAAAAGAATGACTTGCTGTAGGAGAATGCAACAATGCCTTTGTCTTTGTGTTGAATTTGTCCACCCACATTTTAGAACTTGATGCCAGTGCTGACAATTATATAAACACGTTAGGACAGGTTGCTGAGTTTGGACCCTTATTCACTGAAGTCTGCTTCACTTTTTAGGCAATATGTACTCAGGCGTTGCTTTATAGAATCTGAACTGTGCGTTTCTTCTGTTTTAAATCTCCTCCAGGTGCATCCAGCGCACTGCTGGGAAAGGAGGGGGCCATGGCCTGCACCGTGGCAGTGGAGGAGAGCATTTCAGAACACTACAACAGCCAGATAAGAACTCTGATGGAGAAGGACCCCGAGAGATACACTGAACTGTTACAAGTGAGTCAGCCACGGTTTTCTCTGTTGCCATTTCTTTACCTTTTTGTGGTGATGGAAGGATGTTAAGGACATTTTCTCATCGTTTAGTATTACACATTAACACATGAGCATTCAAACAAAACAACTGTGCGTCTTAAGATTATATGTCAAACATGGATATCGTACAGGGGATCATGAAAAGAGAGAGAGAGTGTGATTGTATAAAGTTAAAAGGGAGCGATTCATTTGATCATGCTGCAGCAGCTTATGTCTGACGTAATACATGTTTGAAGTATTTGTTTGTCTTTTTTGTTTGTTATATGAATGAATGAATGAATGAATGGCAAGATAGACCGCCTTTAAAAGGGTCTTGTAAAGAGTGATTACATCTGGTATTTTGCCTGATCATATTACATAAAATATTTAATGGCTGACAGTAAAATGGTTGAATCATGCAGTTAATTTGAATAGAAATAGTGAAAACGGTTTCAGTGTAACCAGAAGTTTGGAGCAAAACTCACAGGTGAACCATGTAAATAAGAACATTACAACACTTTATTGTTGTTGGCCTTTTATTGTCAGTCCTGTTAGAACAGACTGAGACATTTGTCTGGTTATAACAGAGCACTGATGGAATTCAATCTAAATAAGTTCACTGAGTTAATGAATGGTCTTTGGGGTTTATTTTAATAGGTTATCAAGGAATTCAGAGATGATGAGTTGGAGCACCATGACACAGGATTGGAGCATGATGCTGAAACAGTAAGTATATTTTATAATCTGTCTGTGTGGCCGTGCTTGATGTTTCACATGTTTCTGGTGGTGTTTTGGGTTTAGCTTACTGAGATCTATTATATATCAAGGACACAAATCCTCCCTGAACTCCTTGTGGTATCAAAGTACATTAAAACAAGTACAAAACAGACACATATCACTAGTCATTTATAAAAGAATTAGCCCTCCTTGAAGTTTTTAATGAATGCCATTTAAAATACTGCAATCTAACTATGTTGTATTTGTTTTTTGTTCTAGGTACCTGGATACTGGTTCCTAAAAAATGCAATACAGCTAGGCTGCAAAGCTGCAATATATGTTTCTGAACGTGTCTAACATTGTATTTAGAATAATTAAATAATTGATATGATGACTCAGTTTGTATAAACAAATTCATTTGAATTTGAATGTCAGTTCATATTCTGCTCGCCTGTAACTTAAGCACCTTTTGATGCAACACTTTGTTTTACTATTTCAAGATTAAAAGTATTGTATACAAACGTTCACAGTTATCTTACAAACTTCACTGTTTTGTACAGTCTATAAATAATGGATAACTGTCTAAGCAGGTGGAGGTAACCATTCCTGAATTAAATAGCAGATCTCTACACTGTGTAAATCCTGTCTCACTCTTTCTGCAATGCTTCCCTTGAGAGGCAGCGTGCCTGATAAGTGATGCTGGTGGGGAAAAAACAAAAACAACCACTTTTAAATTAAGAATTATGATTGAATGAATGAATTAATCTAATTAGCTAATATAACGCTTAAATAAATGTTAAGACCTGTCTTCTTCCTTTAAGGTCCAGTGTGTAACATTTAGGAGGATCTGTTGACAGAAATAGATTATGATATTCATAAGTATGTTTTCATTAGTATATAATCAGAATGTATGAATATGAAAATAAGAATTGTTGTGTTTTTGTTACCTTAGAATGAGCTGTTTTTATCTACAGAGAGAGTGGGTCCTGCTCCATGGAGTCTGCCATTTTGAATCGCCATGTTTCTACAGTAGCCCAGAACAGACAAACCAAACACTGGCCACTGAGGTTTCTCCTACATTCTTTGTTTGCAATCTGCAACTTCATGGACAGATGCCACTAAATCCTACACACTGGTTCTTTAAGATACCTTAGTAATCTCCTACCTGTCAGTGCAGCACTGGACAATGGACAAACATCATAGACTTCCTGTTCACCAAAAGATAAATACCTAAAATACATGTAATGAGGACATATTGTTACACAGCCATCATACCCTTCAACAAACTCTCCTGTTTCACATGTAATAGTTCATATATCAAACTGAGCAATGACTTGTCATCCTGGCCTAACTGCTAAGCGACCTCACACAGCTGTTCTTGGTACATTAGGTCACTGAGAAAGAGGGATTGACAAGAGGCTTGTCCAGGGGCCCCTAATGTATTAGGCCTTTCAGCAGGTTAAGCAAAGTGTTCATTCCCCTCCTAGACAATATCAGTTTGCTCTCACTGTACATTGAATATTGACCCAAGGCCTGTTTACCCATGATATTAGCCTTTTTATGCACTGGGGACATGATTATGCAGTGACTTAAGGCCAGTGGCAGTGGCTGTTTGGACTTGAATAAAATCCTTTGATGGTAAAGCTTTTACTATACGAACAAATTAAGGGAAGGCACCACTTACTGTTTAGAGTTCTAGCAAGAGTTTGGGCCACGATGAGCCACCAGAACAACAAATCTGTGGAGCTGAAAGTGTCTAATCCTTTGGTTTATGACATTCCCATCAGCCCCAGCTGTAGTGTGTACTAATTAGCAAATTATAGTGTAACTAAACTGAATATCATCAGGTTTTGGACGGTTGGACTTAACAGAACAAGCATTTAAATAGGAATGTGTGATACAGTTTTTCCCTATCTTCTGACATTTTACAGAGCAAACAATTAATTCATCATAAAAAACAAATCAAAAATATTGATATGTGCATGTCTGTCTGTACATTGATATCAATACTAAGAAGTGTCTCTGGTCTATTTTGCATAGCATGAAGTCAGAGGAGTTATTTTTGCGGGGGTGGGTTTGCATATCAGACCTGACCTCAAGGGTTAATATGGCCTCCACTCTTTAAAGACACATTCGTCTTTACTGTCCATCAGCTTGAGAAAAAACTGAAGTTAAACAACCACGTCTCAGCCTTGATGATTCGTGGACATTATGATCATTATTTAGTTAGTTTTGCTCACCACAGTGAATCCCTATCATGATCCTGGTATGCTGCAACAGTTGTTTCTACATTTTCTGATTTATAAAAGAATTCTCACTATCTTACCTGCACTAAATAAACACATGAATAAAACAAAGGGTTTAAGGAGGTAATAGGAGGTCACACACACTATACATAAGCAACATGAGACAGTGGGCAGCTTTGCAAATCAAAGGTAGATCATCAGCCCCAGATTAATAGTGCTGACAGTTTTATAGCAAGGTGCTACTGTTTAAATAAAGCCACAAATGTACAGCTCCGTCTGTAGCACCATTTTGGGTGATGTAATTACTGGTAAGTAAAAACAGGAGTGATGACTCAGTCAAAACACAGGTGTTACTAACTGTAAGCCATCAACTTTACATCTGAATTAGCTGCCATCGCTCAACCATAGATATAATACTCTTTGTAATACTTTTAATTTCAATTTCACTGAATCAGAAAGCTACTGTCTGTGGCCATCAGGAATTCATGTGAATTGTTTAGGTTCTTTTCTCAGAATCACGTCCAAAGGAATCTGCTGAAACACTGTCTGAGATATTGGCATCAAGGTTTTGAAAAGAGCAATAAAACTAAACTAGGACTGTCTTGCTACCCGTGAAGAATCGTGGTTGTAAATTTTCAGCAGCACGAATAATACAAATCCTTATAAGTCATAAAAGCTTTCGGATACAGATTGCATTGCTTCTTGGCTTAGATACACGCAGACTGTCAGTCAGCAGGCCTTTCTGGGGTTTATGGTAACAGGTAGCATAAGGTCCATCTGTAGCAATGAGTAACCCAGGGGATTTAGTTGATATTGTTTCAGTTTAAAATCATCGTTAATGTGTTGCCCATAACACAAGACCAGGGTTATTATAGTTTTGTATTTTTAATTTATTTTGATTTTTCTTTAATTGATTTTTTATTTCAGTTCAGTTTAATTTCAATTAGGTTTCTTTAAGAAGTTCAGAATAGGTATTACAATGCAAACAGAACACTTTGTGAAGGTAGTTGACTCACAGTTATAGACATCCCTAAACATACACATCCATGCCTCCTCATCATCAACTAAAACTAAAGAACACATTTTGGACCCAGGGTTCAAATCCAACCTGTGGCCCTTTGCCGTGTGTCAGACTTTACCTCTTCAATCTTATTTTAGTTAGTTTTGTAAGTACACAATATTGTTTCAGTTGGTTTTAAATGTTCTCTAAAGTTTTTTATTTTTATTTCAGTTAACTTAAATGCTTTCATTAGTTTTTTTGTTTTTAGTTTAGTTTTAGTTGACTATATTAACCTTGCACAAGACACAGTATTTTTGCCTTTCTCCTTGAAGACACGCTGTCTCTATCTTTGTACATCTTAAGGTTAGTGCTTATATATCTATTTAAACTTATTATTGCCTTTTTATCCATTGTCCCATTGCACTGTGTCCTCTGCAACATAATGATATAATGTTTTGTCTGATGAGCTCAGCCCAGTTGACAGCCTGGGGTGATAAAGCTAACACAGATGCTAACTGTCATGTCACCATAAATTTTATGTACAAATCATGTGCATGCTTATTAGAGTATGCATTGCCTTGGCCCTTTAACAAGGTGTTCCCAGAAGTGAGGGGCCATTAGCTCGAAGTGAGTCAGTAGAGCTTTTCATATACTTGTGCTTATCCAGGTCAACTATTCACATATTGCAGCATGAGCTGAAAAACAGCCACACTCAGACAGGGAACTCTATAAATAGTAAACAGTAAACATTTTTACTGCTCTGTGGTATGCCTATAAATACCTGTAAAGTGATGTCACTATATATGCTTTAGATTACTATGTTACACATAGTGAAAATTTGCTGATCTTTTTACAGTTTTATTGTTTGTTTTTTGCTTGTGACATAGAAGTAAATATATGTTAAATTGTTGTGCTAAGAGATATACTATGCATATGTGCATGCTCACGTGCATCTGAATGCTTAAATGCATACTAAATCTTTTGGGTGACTGAGGGGTGTGTGGCCTGAAAGAGCAGTGACCACATGTCCACATGTCTTCACAGTGTGCAGCGACAACACATGATGCAAAGGGCTTACATCACTTCAGCTGGAATCTCTGATTTACAGCCTGTCATACAGGGCCATCTACCAATCACTTTGGAGAAAGAAAAAACACACCAAGGTCAGTCTCTGAGTAAGGTTTATCAATAAGAAATTTCTAAAAAATTATTTCACGATGAAAAAATAACCACAACTACAATAAAGGTAAAAGAACCATGACGTCTCAAATGTTGATGTATTTGTGCATGTAACAAATCATTGCCACTCTGACTTTAAATTGCGTGGCAAACTGATTGTTTGGAGCATCTACTTTTTTATGGCAAAATTGCATGTAGACACATTTTCTGCATGATCATGTTGTCAGTCCACCACTTTGGTTGCTTTGAAATAGCTCAACATTTATTGGAAGGATTGTCATTAAATATTGTATTATATTCATGGTCCCCAGAAGATGAATGCTAATGACTTTACATACTTAAAGGTCCAGTGTGAAACATTCATGAGGATCTGTTGGCAGAAATCAGGTATTTTTTTATTAGTGTGTAAATGCCTGAAAATAAGAATTGTGTTTCCATTGACTTAGAATGAGTTTTTATCTAAAGACGGAATGAGTCCTCTTCTACAGAGTTTCTTTTCCTACAGTAGCCCAGAACAGACAAACTAAACACTGGCTCTAGATAGGGCCTTTTGTGTTTTTCACAAGTTTGGTGTAGTTTCTACTACACACTCGCTCACCAAGTGGTATTAAGTTAGATCTACAACTTCACCGCTAGATTACCATTAAATCCTACACTCTGGTCCGTTAACCCTCTTTGTCCCGTGTGGGACATAAAGTTACAAGAATCTACCTGTTGGTGTCCGTCTGAGGATGACTTTGGGAATTTGTTCTTGCAGCATCCATAGTATGAACTGCAAATGGTAAATGGACACTTATTTTGTGTCTAACGCACATGACCTGGGTTTTCTTGATGTTTCTACGGTGACTGGTCTGTTTGGCATACATGATGATTCTGTCTGACTTTTGTTGAAAGCGGTTATAGTCAATGACTAGTAATGACTTTGATCTTCTGTTAACATTTAATTTGTGCTACCATCAGGTCAAAGTTTGAATTTGTCCAATACTTTGCTTTATGACCAAATACTTGCAAAACTAGTGACACTCCCATCAGCCTCAGCTATAGCTACTTTGTGTAGCATGCTAACATGCATGCTAACATGCTAAACTAAGATGATGAACATGGTAAAACATATACTTGCCAAACATCAACAAGAGAAGTTTTGTCATTGTGAACATGTTACCGTTTAGCTCAAAGAACAGCCTCAAATCAGCATAGCCATAGCAGTTGTCAAACTTTCAAATGGAGGGCTTTAGGTACGTTTTTAGGGTGTGAAATGTATTTTTACAGAGATCTAAGGTATATTTAAATAAACAATGATATTAAATGGGTAACTAGACAAGATCAAGGTGACATTTGCTTTACTTATGTAAAGGACCTTTTCGAGTGCCTGGAGTTGAGCATGGAGTGACCCCATCGCTGGTATCCATCATTGCACTGACAGGCCCGGTGGTTCACCCAGCATGACTCCAAGGCCACGTTGCTGCTCCACTGTGTCATAAGCCCCAAAGACACTTCAAGCTGCTCACTCAAACACAGTATGCCACCCCCCAAAAGTGAATTCAGGATTTTTAATATGAGGTGAACACCAGGTCACTTACCTTAAGTTGTCAATAAATAGTTATTATTAGTTTTTTATGTGTACACATTTCCACATGAGTCCATTTTGAAAAAACAGAATCTATTAGAATAATTACACTAAATGCATATGAAGTTGCACAAGTCTTCTACCATATGCTCATTCCTCCACAGTGATGGAGAAAGTAACATTTTCTTAGCCTAAATTATGTGGAGAAAAACAGCATATGTGCAAGTTGCATGACCAGATATATATTTCACACATATTTGCACCTACTAACTTCTGTGACGTAATGCTTTTAGTTCTCTAATCTCACAGTTTGTCCTTTACACATCTTTGACTGTTTAGGATTGTGGTTGTGGCATTCATACTAGAGGCTGAACATATTTTGCCTGGATGAAGGTGCGTCTGGCACGCCAATAAGTTGGACAGAATGAATAGCTGGTTGTGAGGCGTTCAACAGAATGAGCTGCAGCTTCTCGTAGCACTCAGAACTTATTCACTTGTCAGCTATCCTTTTCTATGCCTGTTACACTACCTCACCCACCCTATCACTCCTGAATCCAACACCAAGTATCCCTGCCATCGACCCCTCCTCCATCTATCACACTGATGCATTGGCAGTCTGCAGAAGGTTACCACGCAAGGCCTCTTAACACCTGGTTTTAGGGATAGTTTTGCCCACCCCACCTGCTCACCTCCTGCAGGGGCCTAGCACTTTACACCGATTCCGCTAAGACCCTGTCTGTCATCCTTACTGATTGAACGGAGATCTCTGGCAGTGTTACTTTGGCCAGGTCTCATATCTCTCGCCTAAGGCTTGTTTTCATGTGGCTTGTAAAGATGCCACTCTTATCTCCTATCAATCATGGGCCTCTTTTCCCAGCTATGCCCTCGACTGCTGGTGACAACATAGATTCAGAGTGATGTTGTTGCAGATTGTCAAATTACACGCAACATGGCAAGGGGAGCTACAAGGCATGATTGTGGTCTCGGTCACAACCCCATAGAAGGTTTTGTTCTTTCATTTCTTGATACAAATTGGCATTTTTTTTAGTCTTAAAACAAGAGTTTGTTGATAGAGCTACTCTATTGTTTGAATGTTGTTCATATGGTTGGATTTTGGGATTGTTACCTGTGAGTTGCAACCTTTCTGCACTGTGGTGCAGTGCATAAGAATCCAGCATGTGACTACTGTCTCTGGCTCGTTGTTCTTTGAAGCTATCAGCCGACAAACATTCTAGCTCGTGGCCGGGCCCTCAGCTCTTGAGGCTGGTGATGACACACATGTTCAGCAGACAAAGTGCTTGGACCACCCAGGCTTTAGGTGTCCTGACCTTGGAGGTTGTCTGTAAGAAATAACAACACAAGAGGAGAAAGAATGCCTCCTATGCGGCACAAGGGGTCAAGCCATTGCCCCTGACAGGGTGAAGTTCAACATGTCTCATGAGCCCTTATGGGTTATGCAAAACCCTCTGTTTGTTTTTCAGAGGTAAAGAGACAAATGTAATACACTCCAGAAGTGTGTCAGGTCTCACTTTGTGTGTGTGTGTGTGTGTAGAGGTATGTAAGTGTGTCTGTTGTAGATGCTACGAGGGACCATGTTTGACCCATGACGAGTTGTGGCAGTTGAATCACTGGGGGTGTAGAACACAAATTCCCTTTAATCCACTGATCTGAAGCCTGCAGTGAAAAACGTATCATTCTGTCCAATCCCATATCAAAGAAAAACAGAATAGCAGCAATGCCATCTCTCTGTTCGTGACATTCTAGTGAAATGGTGATAGATTTACAGCAACTTCTTTCGTTTTTCAGCTATTTGAGGTATCTGTTAAACAGATTGTTGCATTGATTTCTGGGAAGACAGATGGTGGTGTGCATGCTTCAAGATAACTGAAGGAATGAAGAATTGTTCAGCTCGGTAGATCAAATTCAGTATAGTGATGTCCTTAGGCTACATTTTTATTGCGCGTAGGTGTATACGATCTCACAGACATATTTTTGAGTAGCTTTGTTTTCTTTCTGGCCATAGTTGAAAGTAGCTAAAATAGCATGAAATGCTTGAAAATGAGACAAAAAATACCATTTTTTTCCTGCCAAAACAATGAGACAAACCTTGATAAATCTGTCTGCCTTGTTTATAAGTCTTTAAATAGTGAGGTAATTATTGCAGACAACATAATGAACTTGTTTTTCTTTGCCAAAAGAGACAAATAATCCTCAGCACACCCAGAATAAAAACAACCACTTTGCTACCCATTTTACAGCCACATGTTTGACCAAATCAAATGTTTTTATGCTTGCCTTTAAAATTGAAATAATTACACGGCCCTTCATCTGTTTCATATTTCACGTTTGACTGTGGAATGTGTGTGCTGTTGTCATTGTGTCCAATCTCCTAAAGGGGTATGTTAACTCAAGGTTTATTGCCTTTATTATGTATTCTTTTCTTTTCTATTTAAAGGCATAGTTTGGGTGGTATTGTATGAGGTACTTAACCATAGTCAGTGTGTTACCTACAGTAGATGTCGGTCTGCAAACCCCTAGTTTGGAGAAGCACAGAAACAAAGCAGTGCACTGCTGTGGACAAGGGCAGCTACAAAACATACTTTAGTCACCTAAAAAAAGGCCCACATAAAAAGGTCAATATCAGTTTAAGTGTGTGCTATAATTTGAATAGTTTACCACTATACCTTGCCATCAGACACCCCTTTCTGACTGGATACTGAAGCGTTTATTTTGCTCACAGGAGTTGCTGGTCCACTGTTTCCTCAATCTGCAGCAAACCAATGTGTTAAAACACCAAAGTCACATAATAACACAAACAAACTAACCGATTAAGGCAGTGGTGGATCAGCAACTCCAGGTTTCTGCAAGGTAAAATTACAGTTTTTGTCAAAAGAGTCTGGTGGCTTTGAAGAAAACATAGATCAATATAAACGCTTTACTTTCCCGTCAGAAAGTGTTGTCTGACAGCAAAGTAAAACAATGAAAATATTATAAATATAGTGTACACTTAAACTGATATTGATTTTTTTAGGTGGCTGAAATACATATTGTTACTGCCCCTGTCCATAGCAGTGCGTTGCTTAGCTTCCGTGCTGGTACTCCTGTCTGCTTCTCCAAACTGCGGGTGTGGCAACCACCGTCTACAGTAGATAATACAATGACTTTAGATGAATACCTTATAAAACCCCACTGCAAACACCCGAATTATCCCTTTAACTCATTAACTCAACCTCATGCCACCCCACAGTCCTTTCAGCCCCAGCAGTCTCATGAGCATGAACATGATCAGCCTCTGGCCTTTCAAGCGATCATTATTTGCTGTGATTGACACGTTGGTTTGCTGTGCATTTCATTGATGAGAATTTTTGAGCCCTGGGGCTCATGCTCCTGCGGTGATCAGTGGTATGTCAGCCATTTCAGGGAGACAAGGCTGGATTACCAACCGGTTAAAGCGTGCAACTGCCCAGAGTCCCCAGACCCCCAGGGGCCCCTCAGCCATGATAGTAATAATCCATCATACCATCGTAAAAGAAATATAAGTTTGCAAACATATTATTTATTATTTACATTATCAATACATCTGAATATTATTTTCTTCAATAATTGATTGATTGATTGTTTAGTTTATAAAATGCCCATCATTATTCTCTGAGGCCGAAGTTAACATATTCAAGTTGCTTTTTTAAATTTTAATCTTAGGTGTAGTACAATGATGTTTATTGACTTTCTCATTTTGGCTTCTTCTCCTGTAGTGTATAATGGAATACAACTAGCTTTTTATTTCAATCAATGTAGTGCCAGTCGACCTCCTGGGCAGCGCTGATATGCCCTTGAGCAAGGCACTAAACCCCTAACTGCTTGGAGCACCAACTATGTGGCAGCCCTGTTACTGTGACACCCCAATAATGCATGTCTATAGGTCCTGTGTGCGTGTTTGTGCATGTGTGTGTATTTTAGACCTATGTGTATATAATCAAAAAACTAACCACACAGATTGTGTACAGAGTGCTAAATTAAATTTAAAATGTGAAGGGTGTCATGGAGAAACCTATTTTAAATTTCTCTCGTTGTTACTTAGAACATGAATTTTGAGAACATTCAGCGTGCTTGGTGCCACAGTAAAGTGTCCACCACCTGTGCTTTGAGAGTTGACCGTGTGGGAACCTTACGGTACTATTCATTCCCGTGTCGGAAAGTGTTTGAGGTGTGTGCTCCAATGACCTAGGGGGTCACATACCACGCAAAGGGGCTATGCAGTTATGCTGACCATGTAGCTGTTTAAATCAAAACACTGGCAATCAGAGGCTGATGGTGGGAGAGAGAAGAAGAGACACAATAGGGGGAAGGAGACCTTGTTCTTGAGGCATGGTCAGATAGGAGAGGGATAGATAGTGGGTGTGTGCAAAGACTTAAAATATGTTGAAAAGACGCGTGTGTTATCTTTTCTCCTTGCCACTGGCCATCCAGTACCTCCCCTCATGGTGTGTCGTCAGCAGTTTATCCTGGCAGGAGCTGCGAGGGAAATGGGAGGAAATCTGATCCATATGGTGGCACTATAAAGCTCACCGCTGATTTGCAGGCTTCATCAAAACCTGGTCAAGGCTTCATCACTACTGGCATCCTCCTCTCACACCTGGTCACTGCACTCTGAACTTCTTACTCTCTCCTCAGCAGCACAAGTTATCTGTCTGACCCCAGGGGTACCTCAGCAACGGTCTTCAAAGCTTATTCTCATTAAAGAGGTAAGTTCAGTTCCAGGTTGAAAAGTGATGGATTTCATTTAGAACAAGTTATGGACAATAAGATTAGAAGATGAGGAAGAGCTAGTCGTATTGACAGTGATTTTTCATGCTTTGCATTGGACAAATGAAGGTATATGAAGCCAGATTGTGAGTGAGAAATGACGCATTGCATGCGACTGTTTTTGTTATGTTACCTCAGATATGAAGATACTGGGCCAGGTTGCTTTCTTGCTTTTACTTGGAGGAATCTGGTGTCAGAACAACCGTAATGCTAAAGCTAGTGGCAGGTCCACCAAGAAGGCTGGTGGGAACCAAGGAGGGGATGTTGGCCAATCTCCTCTTGCGGTTGATATGACTCCAGGAAGCACAGTGAGCACTAGAGGCACTGGAGGCACAGCTGAAGCAGGACGAGAAGCCGCTGCAGGAGCTCGAGGAGCCGGGCAACAGACAGATGATATGAGGCTGCATTTCCTCAAGAACACCCAAGTTACATGTAACGATGGAACAGCCGCTGGGTGAGATATCCTGGATCTTGTTTTCTCTCACTCGTGTTACTGAAACTCTTAGCAGAACATTGTGTGATTTTTGCCTTTTGCTGGGCAATCCTGTGATACATACATTGAGTGTCCATACATGGCTGCTTTATTCTCGCCATCTCCTCATTTCTGTTTATTTGTGGTTGTACAGGTTTTACCTAAAGGAGTTCAGAGGAAGCCGCCGATGGCTGTTATTTCTGGAAGGTGAGTATTTAAAAACCCAACTGGTTAATTTGGTCCCCAAAGGTCAGCTTGTTTTGGCGTGACGCGCCCATTGGAATGTTGATGAGGATGTCATCTTGTCCCGTCATCTTCTGTTTTTCTCCTTTTTTGGTTTCTGCCTGTCACTTTGATAGACTTAAGATGGGGGATATTTATGTGGATTGTCGTTCAGCTTGATTTATGTGTGTATTCTGAGAGCGCAGAGGAGGTGTGCATCACATTTCCCAAACACAAACGTTTTACCTGGCTGAAGTGACATTCTCTAACGGGTTTTAGGTTTTTTTAACTTCTGAGTGCATTTTTGTGAGCAGTATAGCCAAATAAGTTTGTTTTGCTCTCCCCCCTATAGATAGATCTTAATAGGTCATATATGTGAGTTGTTGTATTTGGAGGAAAAACCACTTTGCACCAGCTGAAAGTCAATCAACAAATTAGATTCTGACAGTTTGCAAATTAAAAGAATCACTTGTTGTTTTTGTCCAGCTCTGAGTGATTGCGTAGTCGCGTTAGCAGACCACGCTACAGGTGCATTCCTCACAGGCCTGTATGATGGGCTAACAAGGGTCCCCCTTGCTGTGCTTGACGTGAATGTCTAATATTAGTCTCTATTATTTTTAGGTGGCTGGTGCTGCCACAGCAGAGAGACCTGTGATTCCAGGTACCAAAATATACCCCGACTAATGAGCTCATCAGGGTGGCCCCGGACAAAAAGAGGTGGGTGAGCCGGCCATGTTTTTAAATGCATGTCATACATGTTCCCATCGTGTTACTTGTTTTACGTAATAGGCAAAAGGACATCTGTCTCATCTCTGAATGCTGGATTTACAGGAACTGGAATACTGTCTTCTCAAGTGGAGGAAAACCCTTATTGGCATAATGCAAACATTGTGTAAGTCCTTGTTATCCTCACTGTGTGTGATATTGTGGCTACTGGAGGCGTCACATTTAGACAGTACCATTTGTACATGTTTGTGAGACATGGACCTCTCCCCATTAATGCTCAGCAGGATATAGTTAAATACACAGTAGACATTGAAATATGATCTTATGGCCGGGTTGGGAGGTTTACTTTAAAATGTTTTATTTGATACTATAACTAATTACTATAAATTAAGAAAATTAGTAACCTAATCAAGGTATCACAATATTAAAGTAAGAACTTTCCGTTACTTTTGGATTACCTGAACACCAAATTTTCAAATAAAGACAAGAGAAAAGTTTTATAAATAAGATGACTTGTACAAATTCTTCAACTGAATTATGCAACTTTAAAAAATGAACTGGAAACCAAGATGTTTAGCATGAAAAGTGTCTCCTCAGAGTATTTTTGTAAAGAAAAGCTTTTCATTAAGCAAATTCAGGCAGTAACAATATAATCTGTTACTCCCCAAGTCTGCTTATGGTTTACAGCAAGTTTTGTTTGTGCCTCTAGTTGTTCAATGACATTGAAGTGTAAACAAAAAATTGACATAAGCCCCCAACATTACAAATGAATTATGGTTAACGTGTTACATATTTACACATCCAGCTGACACAGAGCAACATCACTATTCATTTGGAGTTGTGTTCCTGGAAACTTTGTGAATGTGAGCCATATATTCACTCCTCTTTTAGCTCTGTTTTGGTCTTCAGAGGGCTGTTTAGCTGATAAATGCATTTGGTTGCCAACTTTGTCTGTCTGCCAAAAAACAATGAGATCAAAACATTTTAATATTCTCCACAGAATTAAGGAGAACTGCAGAGTCACTGCGAGTTGTCCTAGTTCCCGTTATGCATGCATGGTTACTTGTTAATATGAAAATATTGATTAGTGCTGCTTTAAAGCAAGACAACCTTTTAAAGAAATTACACAACATTCCTCAGACAAAACTGAAGGGTTTTGCTGCTTCAGCCTTACTTGGTCCAGTATGACCAGTACCTTATAGTGGCTCAGGTCAACCAGTTTCTGATACAGTATATGACAGAAGAGTTGATTTTCACGGAGGAAAGAGGGAATTGTTTTGATGGCTTCAAGCTCTAGTCTATCAGTGTGATTGTGTCCTTTTCTTTAGATTCATTCCATACTGTTCCAGTGATGTGTGGAGTGGCACTGGGCCTGCCCCAACCCCTCCTCCAAGGCCACGACAAGGCAGAGAAAAAGAGAGAGATAGAACTGCAAATGCAAGTACGTTTCTTCAGATCCTTCCAAGAGTTTCTGTAAAACAATCTATATCTCCCTTGGTTATAAGAACACATAATGAATCTAACTTTACTTATCTAACTTAAGTTCTGTGCCTCCAATCATTTGTTATCAGCTGAGTACACCTTCATGGGATCCCTGATCATCCGCGAGGTCATCAAAGACCTCATCCCCAAAGGAATCAAGCTGGCCAAGGTTGTCATGCTGTCTGGCACAAGGTGAGTTTGTTTTATCGCTCACGCTCTGATGCTGACCACAGCTCTTTGACAAGCCTGCATCCTTTGTACCATCTGGTTCATCTCCATGCCTAAGAGAAGCCCTATTTTGGGTGTATCCTCTTGTCAACAATAAAAATTTTTACAGTCAACTGTGAACAATGACATAATGTCTATTAGAGGGCCTTGCCCTGTAATAGTGAACATTCCTCCCAGGTTAGCAAGATGGTTGTTGGGACTTACCCTCTGGTCATAAAACAGGATCCACTGACTGAATGCAAAGCTGCTCAATTTTGACGTCCCTGCTATTAGCTGGCATTTGCTGTCATTTTGATACCCCTTATGAAAATGGCAATCTCAAAGCCAAACTATTTATTGAATTCTTGACTCCCCTGCAGCGCTGGTGGAACAGGTGTTTTGCTGAATATTGAGAGAGTGGCCAGTCAGCTGGAGCAGCTCGGCGCAGAGGCTCAGGTTCGAGGCCTTGTGGACTCTGGGTGGTTTCTAGAGAGTAAACAGCAGAGATCACCTAACTGTCCCGAAACCATTTCCTGCTCACCTGAAGATGCTATCAAGATAGGACTCAGGTAAAGTCATGCATTCTTCAATCAGCCTGTATAGATTACCCGTAAAGAAACACTTTCATAGGTTTAAAATGATCTCTCTTTTGCTATACGGTGCTGTCTTATTTGGTTTTATTATGTAATGTTGTACTGAGCAATAGATTTATGTGTCGTGACAGCGTGTGTTGTTTTCTCAGATTGTGGAATGGGGTTGTGCCTGATAGATGTCGGCAGCTCTATAAGAGAGGAGAGGAGTGGCAGTGTTTCTTTGGCCACAAACTGTACTCTACCTTGACCTGTGAGTGCTGCCTGGTGCAAATGTATCATGATATTAGATAAGCATGCTATATATTGGACTTAAGCTATTCAAAAGTAATGTGCCCCGAAATATGAGAGGTGACAGTTTAATTTACGCAGAAGCTGAAAAGTCCCAAGTGTTATCTAATGTTGGTGATTTTCATACTTTTACTTCAGCGGAGGAAGTCCATGGTCTTTTACAACATTTCCGTTGGATCGAAAACCCACAAGAAAAAAAGAAATTCTGCTGTTTTTTCCGTTACAATGTGGTAAAATTGATACATTATTATATTTACACATCCAGCAGATACAGAGCAATCCAAATATTAACATTCATTTGGAGTCGTGTCTCAATATTCACTCTCCTTTTAGCTCTGTTTTGTTCTCCACCAACTACTGAGGGAAATATCTGACTCTTTAGTTACTAAATGCTGTCTGCCGTTGAGCAGGTAGTGTACAACACGTTTATCAGTCCTAAAAATAACTGCCTGCTATGTCTGGAAATGATGCTGATGACAGCCGTGAGATTGAATCAAAACAGTAAAGTTGCGGGCAGTAAAACCAAAACAATGAGCTGAAACTAGCTATAAAGCTCATTAGAGCTAAGTCGGGTAACAGATGACATAGTCATCTGACCCACTGTTAATATAAATATATTGATTGGTGCATCTTTAATATTGAACTATTTGTATTCCCTGTAGCCCCCCTGTTTGTTGTGCAATGGCTGTTTGATGAGGAGCAGCTGAGAGTGGAGAACATCTACATGGGAGGACAGAGTCTGTCCGAGGAACAGTGGCAGTACATACAGAACCTGGGCAGGGAGCTCAAGAACTCACTGACAGATGTCACGTAAGTTCCCACAGACCTACATGGAAGAGTAAGATATAGCTAATGATAACACTAAATGCATCAGCTGATTCAAGTACTAAAGAGAGATTGCTGTATTCTTCTGTGTGTGTTTTTCAGGGCTGTGTTTGCTCCGTCCTGCCTCTCCCACACACTGATTACTAAAAGGTAAGAGTGGATTTGACTCCTGTGGTGGTAATGCACTTTTGTGCCTTCCAACCCTCATTTTATTCTTGCCTCTACCAGTAGTCATCTCTAACTAGTGAGCTCATGCTGCTGTTTTTATTCGCTCATTTGTCATTCCGCATTCTTCATGTCACCAAATGCCATTTCACACTTTCCCCTAACCCCTTGGTACCCCTTGAACACACTCATCATTTTGCTGCACAGATGGACACTGATGGGTCAGTGAAGTCTTAGCTAGGTTTACAGACTCAGGCTAAGTTAAGTGTATTTATTGAGGGTGCTGATTCTTTATGGGAGGAGCTGAAGGTCCAAGGTCATTGTAGTTCATTTTGCAGTGGCTGTCCTGTGATGCTATACTTGCTGCACCGAGATAAAGAGCCAAAAGTGGGCAAAGCAAATTGTGAACCTTGGGTTGATTATACCATGAGATCATTGATGACATTTTCTCGCTCCTCAGTTGACCCAATAATCTTATCCATTCCTCTGCTTACTGTCAACCTTTCCCTTTCTCTGTCTTTGCCTCTGTTTATTTCCAATCCATATCTCCCCTGTCTGCTTGTTCTTCTAGTAACTGGATGAATTTCCAAGTTAGAGGCACCTCTCTGCCACGGGCCCTGCACTGCTGGGACAGGAGTCTGGAGGCAACCCGCAACAACAGAACCCCTGCCAAAGGTTGTCCTTTCCACCTGGTGGACACCTGCCAGTGGCCTCAGTGCAACCCCACCTGCCCAGCCTTGGTGGACCAGGCCACCCAGCAGGAGCTCACCCTGCTCCAGATGCTGGTAGCCATGGGCCTTGACCTCCAGAAGCTGGGCCTAGATCCCCAGGGAGATGCAGATTCTCTGGCCAGCATGGTCAGTAATGGTGGTTAAGTGTAAAAGTACATTGGAGCTTAAGAGATAGACATGCAAAGGCTTACAAGAGGGGAAAAAATGTATTGAAATTATAATGTAACCATAGAAATAGTACAGAAATACGGTTACTATGTCTTGTGCTGCTCAGCATTCCATTATGCTTCATGTGTCTGTTAAATTGGTGACTTGACTGGTGGGTATGTCACTGTGTCTGAGTGGTTTGGTTGTCCCACTACCTCTTCCACCAGAGGAAGGAGCTTTGGGTCTAAACCAAAGGTGGTTGAATAGTTTTGAGTTTTAGCAGATGGCCGGACATACTGTACCTCACTTTCATCCTGATTACTCTACATGAAAATTAAACTTCAGAGCATGGTCGTAGGGTTGAATATTTATACGAATACGAATAGAGGCTCCTGGAAAATGTCAGAGGTACAAACATGTTGCTTGGACAGGACTCATGAAAAATAAACATTTGCACACCATATAGTGTAGTTGTTAGCTTTAAATAAACATTTATTTATGCTCTTTGAACCTAACAATCATACTTTTCGTATGTGCCAAATTATGAGTATTCTGATTCTGAATGTTATTTTACATAAAATAATAAAATACAACTCTGTACTCACGCTAACTCAATATGATTTTGCACACACAGTTCCAAAGACACAGATTGTGATTTTTCTGACTTTTTTAGTCTGTAGCTCTTGATGCTATGCTAACTTATATTACATAATATATATATATATATACAGATTTTATGTGCATGTAAGACTAAAGTGTGATTAGTTATTGATATTTTTCTGTGTTTGTATTGAAGTCTGCAATAAAAAGAAATCAACCCAAGTGATGAATAACCATGGCATTGGTTATCCACCACTCAGCTGTCAGGATAATCTGACATACGTGGACATAATTCACACTTTCACAGTGTCATGCTAGTTTTGCAAGGCATTTACAGACGGTACTGTAACTGTTGTTGTAATGTTTTATTTTCATCTAGGTACTGTAATAACTGTGTCAACCGACAAGGGTTTGACAATAATTGTACCTGCTGGCAATAAGTATCAGACTGAGTTGTTGCTCATGTTGAAACAGGGAATAAAGATATGAATTGGCTTTGACAACATGAACTCTGTTTCTGTGGTTCATCAGTTCTGTGAATTCATTATCTTGACATCCATAATCTATATGTGAGAAGGTTCAACGACAAGATGCAATAGCCTGTTCTTTGGCTCTGCCCTCTGGCTCAGTTTTCTTCCACTGAAACACCAGTGCAGAATTTCTAACAGGGCACTGGTTATCTACAGGGACCTGCAAACTCAACCAATCTGAAGAGCCTTTACATCTCAGTACTTCCTCTATATGTATGCTAAGTAATTCAGTTTGGACTACAGTGAACATCAACTGTTTGGTATAAATAAATTAACATAAACAAACTAAAACACTGGTTGAGAGTTTCATTGTCTTGAATAGAAAATGATTTTTCTTATCTTGAGTTAATGGACCTAATGAAAGAAACAATTATCCTCTTGGCATTTTATTCTAGACCTCTAATTCTTACATTTTACTGTATATTAATCTGTGTGTGGTAAAATATGCACATTCTGTTCAAAGGGTATGTACACTAAATGCCATCGCTCAGCAGAAATCCGCTGTGGGAGCATCATGCCTCCAGAGCCTGTCCGTTAAATGTGAGACCAACAGAGACGACAGGAGAGTGGGGGTGTGTGACACCGATGATGTTGCTGGGCCTCTCCTATTTTCTGACCAACCTGGATGGTGTAGATACTGTGTTATAAATATTTCACAAAATTATACCATAATCTAGGATTATATCCTATTATATCCTTTTGAAACTCAACTTGTCCACTCTCCTTTGCTCCCAGTTAACTAATTAATTAACAATTAACTAGATATATACCGACTACATCACATGGTCATGTCCTCCCCGTCTGAAAATATGTTGTGCATGGGCTTTGTTGTTTAGTATGCTACTGAAAACAATATTGAATGTACTGTGGGCAGTTAGTAACTCATTAATAGTAATAATATTACAGTAATAATATTACTTTTCCCAGTAACTAGTAGTGTAACTAATTACTAATTAATTTCAGTAATAATATTACAGTCACACACATCGTTGGATTCATTTTTGTAATTGTGGAGGAAACTAGTTTGGAAGATGAAAATACTTATATTTAGCGGCTGGAAATATTCTATTACTTTTATTTTATCAAACAAAACTGGATTTTTGGGGAGAAAGGACACAATTACTAATTTTGTGGGGAGTAGTAGAAAAGTAATATAACTAGTAGTGTAACTAATTACTGTTGATAGGGAGTAATAAGTAAAGTAATAAGATTACTTCTGAAGAGAGTAAGATGTACTGAATAATAAATATTTTTTCTTTTGAGTATCAACAAATCTTTGCACTCATGAGACGTTTGTTGCTCTGGGTAAAACTGAAACTATGGATGCGTGCAGTGATTCATCCTCATCACTGGATGGCGCTGCTTTATATTTTATACATATTTACTAAAGATCCTGAGTGTAGTGACAAAATACGATTTTTATAATTTAGCCTAGTACAGCCATTTTACATTTGAAGGCCGGGTATGAATATGTAAATAAACGCAATAAAACATTTCAGATTCAATCTGAGTATCCAGGTCGAATAAAATCCTTGCTGAACAAAATAATTCACGTTACCGAAATGTTATTAATGTTTACAATTAATTTATAATCTGTGTCGTTTTATGTTGTTACAGCGGAGGTGCACGGTACTAATCAAAGACACAAACCACAGTAATTTCCTGGTGGTGTGGGTCATCTCGACTTGAAAAAGTCTTAGATTTTTTCCCATATTGCATTGCAGTTTTTTCTACTTCCTCTTTCCGCCATATTGCAGAACCGGTAAGATGCTTTTTACACTGTCACCTTCAATCTTACAAGTATCTAAAGCATCTGAGCGTTAAATGTTCCATTTATGTGATCATCCTGAAGCGAAGGTACATAGTAATCATTTGGGATGATTATTGTATCGATTGGTGGAAGTAGTAAAACATATTTGGGCTACAACTTTGATGTCCCAGCCCCAGTGTCCGGCCCTGGGAGTCGGTGCGTTCAGTGCGCCTTCACAAGTGTTAGCTCTGCGAACACTTGTATAGCTCTTTACTTCACACACATTTGACCTGCAGGCACTCCGTTGACCTCGGTGTGTAAAAGATTTTAAACGCGGTGGACAATGGGTTGACTATTGTCTCTGCCAATGTTAAGAGCTACTTTGCTAATATAGTCGGATATGCTAGTTAGCTAGGTAGCTATCCTCTGTCCATGAAGGACCATGCTTTGGAGGGAGTCTGCGTTTAATGTGTCCGCTGGAGCTCGGTGGAAAGCAGCGTTACTTACTGCGAGTGAAATCGGTTGTTAACAGAAAAATAGCGACATGTAATGGACAAATATTGGACTAATTGCTAATACCATAACGCGTCGTGACTCAATTGGGGTTAGCCAGGGTTTACCAATTGGACACTACTTAATCTTCTGTACCTTCATTTCATTGTCTAGGTAATACTGTTCAGAGCTTGAGCCTATTAGAAAATAGTCTTTCAAGACTTCAGTTGAGTTGAATGAGGGACATCATTTGGTGATGTGAAAACACAGGCTGTGTCTTCTTTTCATCGTCCATAAAGCACTGACTGTAATTCACTAGTTGGGGCCACTGGATAACAGTGGGATGTGATATTAGGCTCAGCTTAAATCATTTTAGTTCAGTCTTGCATGTCAATGACTAATTTTTTTTAAATTTTGTCTTTGTGGCTGCAGGCATCATGGTGCGCATGAACGTTCTCGCAGATGCTCTTAAAAGCATCAACAATGCTGAGAAGCGTGGGAAACGCCAGGTCCTCATCAGGCCCTGCTCCAAGGTTATTGTGCGCTTCCTAACCGTCATGATGAAGCACGGTGAGTAGCTATTCTCTGGTGGCACTGAGTGTTGAACAGGTATCATAAATCTTTTGGTCCAGTTGATACACTTGCTGTTGTAGAGCCACTAAAAGGGGAATTCAAAGTGTGCAATTGGTAGAAATACAGCCAGTAGAGGCTGTCTGAGGAGTGGTGATGGTGGTTGAGCTTGGTGTCTCAGTTGGATCAAATTTCAGACACTTGGCTCATCATGTCAAAAAGCTGATAGTTTGAAGTGAGCGTTTAACTTAATGAAGTTGTTCTTTGTCGTTTGTACCTTCTAGGTTACATTGGTGAGTTTGAGATCATTGACGACCACAGAGCCGGCAAAATTGTCGTCAATCTCACAGGCAGGCTGAACAAGGTAAAGTCTATTAGTTCTACACATACCACTGCTTGTGAGACAATTTCAGATAGGTGTTTGCTATATGTTTGCATTAGGGATGATACAGATCACACTAAACACTTCAATTCCCTCTATGGTCCTTCCAGTGCTTCCAGACGTACTTGTTTTTCCAATCTTCTGCATTTTATTTAACTGGTTATTTTAAAAAGCGGGGTGCCTTTGGTCTCATTGGCCACATGACAACATGATAGCTTTTGATATAACTTGCCTTCTTTTGTTCATAAAGTGCTAAATCTAACAGCCTTCTAACTGAGGCGAGGGGGACACAAAAGCTTACACAGTTGGAGCGTCGCACAATGTGCAACCTGCAGCTTTTTGTTCCAGCCTGCTGTCTTATGTGTGAATACGGAGTTCAAACCTGTGTTTTTGTTTTTTTTATCTTTTCAGTGTGGTGTGATCAGTCCACGTTTTGATCTCCAGCTCAAGGACCTGGAGAAGTGGCAGAACAACCTGCTGCCTTCAAGACAGTTCGGGTGAGAGTCACAGATACTAACTTTCAGACTGAGTGGTGGCAGTGATGAAGTGCTGAACCAACTGCAAGGAGAGTTTAGACTATTTAGTCCTAATGGTCTCCAGTCTTGCTCAGTTAGTCACTGCAGTGGCTTGCCTGCTATGATGCCTTGCTTTTGCTCGGTTGTCCTATGAGGATGCTTTAGAAAATTCGTTTTCTGATTTATTTTCATTCAAGAGATTTGAGGATAACTCTTGAATTTTTAATTTTATGCTCAGCATCCCAATATGCTCCTGTAAAGGGCTCTAACGTGACATTTTTCACTCCCATCCCAAAATACAATTTAACTGTCCTGAGGTAGATGTGGGCTGTTCCAATTATAATTTGACAATTTTTCTACAATAACATAATTTGCATAATTAAATATGGTGCGGTATAAATGAAATACTCAAGTAATTAAATTATAAATTGACTCACATTTTATGAAAACATTTCAATTTCCACTGTGAGGAAGTTAAGTGAATTGAACTAATTCATACTTCTGATATCCCTCACTCTGAGAGAAAGCTTGTCCCCGTCTCTTCGGCAGTGTGTCTCGCCGGTCACACCAGAAAAGTGTGTTGCTTTCCAACGTAACTGTCGCTGTTAATTTTCATGTCGGTGCATAACCGCACTGTTGCAGTTGTATTTTATGTAGGCTGGGTGTACCTTGACCGTCAAATGATGGTGACGGATGACTTAATTTAGAGCCGTGATAAATGAAACAATTTGTATGTAACAAACTAAAGTGCTTCAAGTACTGGACAGCGTTACTTTGCCTCTCTTCCACCGTGATTTAATGGTGTCTTGAATGGGGTTTATTGCTAATTCTGTTTAAGATTTTATGTGACATTGTCTCTGAGATAGTAGGTGCGATTGAGAGACTGTAATTAGGTATGGATGATGGGAAAAATCTCAGAAGCTGTGCATATAATTCTTTATCTGCAGGGCAGTAGTCCTTGCCTGTTGGATAAAACCCCAAATATGGCAGGAATTTGTCTGAGTAGAATTTGCATGCAGAGACTGGTGTTTATGCATCATCAATGTAATGCAAGGCTAAAATTCATCTTATGTTAATCGTAGAATTAACTGAAGCATGAGCAGAATTGAGCGTTCTTCATAGTGGGCAATTAACATGACTTGATCGTGTTCAGAATCTTATTTTTGTGAAGTAGAGTTAAAGGAACAATGGTCAACAGACAGTACCTGTTGAAAGTGAATTTTATTTAAAAATGTTTTAAATAAGTCGTCACTATTACAGCAACTCTAAG